ACAATACTATACGTTTGCGGTAAAAGTTTCAACTTGCCTTTTGCTCAAAATGATTTGACTACAAAAAGGTGTAAAAATTTTACTGTTTTTTTCTTTATTTTCTCGTTCAGTTAATTTCCTCATCACTTATCATCGTCTGTAGACAATTGTGTTTTATCATCGTATATGTTTGTTTTGTTTATAAAATTGTTTTTTTTTCTACTTAAACAAATATTTTATCACAGTTATTAGTATTTTTTTTACTTCTAAAGGATAGTTTTTGTTGTGTTTTGTTTGATCAATAGGAGTATACAGTGAAATGAACAGTTCTTTTAGGCTACAACAGATCGCATAGTTGTTGATTATGATTATGTGACAACAGTATTATTATGAACAGCAATTTTTTTATTTTTTTAATTGCACTTCCACTGGTGAATACTTCAGTATTCCTGTATATATCAGAAAATGAAGTTTATCGACTCTTGGGTATGTATTTGTATTTCTTACTGTTTTGCTTCTTTTTTTTTCCTGGTTCTATTGATTAGATTTAAGACCTGTTATTCATAGGTAGGCTGGATTTATACTGCACATAATGATAGTTTTTCTTCCTCATTTTTGCAAGGGAAGAGCTAACGATTGAACAGTTTGGTGGTCAAAAAAAAGCCAGTTATTGAAGGGTAGTTAAAAGAACAGTAAGCAGAAAGAAAGCTCCCTCCTCCCACCTTCCCCACCACTTTTTTCACGGCTTTGAATGTATATTAGAAACATTTAAACGGTGTTGGTTTTATGGTTGTTTCAAAGTTAAACATTGTTCTTCAACATTGTTCCATGTTGCTACCAACAAATTTTGAATGGCTATTTAAGAAGATACAAAAAAGAAGGAACAAAGAAACAGGAAAAAAAAGGGGAAAATAAGAAAAAGGGCAGATGTTTCTGTTTTGTAATGTTGTAAATGTTAAAAGCAAAAATACTTTTTTCCTTGTCAAATTTTAGGTATTAAAGCCGAAATGAAATATATCACCGATGGTATCGTAAATGAATATTCATCAAAATTTCTGTTACGTGTAACTGAAAATATATCAGAAGTTGCATTTACTTGGCGATCTGCTGTTGCTGAACCGAAGGTTTAATTTTTTTTTCACCCAATTTCGTTTTAACTTAGTTAGCTCAAAAAAGAAGTGAATATCACTTAAAAGGAAATAAGTTTATGTTTTATTTTTGCTTTTGCTTTTATTATCAGTATATTTAATGATAGTCTTATGCTCTATTTGTTCAGAGTTGTTTAAGATTTTAGTATTGTTTTGTATAATACATTCTTATGTGCTTAACTCGTTATTACTGTTTCGTCATCTGTAAAACTTCTTTTTGCTGGTTTTTTTTTCTTCCCTTTGTGTCGTTTATTTCTTTTCTTCATGAGTTCAATGAAGTTTCTTCGGTCAATTTTATTCGTTTCTTAAATTGACATTTTTTGAATACTTAAGATTCTGTCTTAATCAGTTTAGTACACTGCAAATTTATTCCTCATTGTAGTTCTAATTTATAGCACTCTAAAAGAAAAAAAAAACAAGTTACTGCAGAATGAAGATTTTTGAAAAATTGTTGCTTTATTGTTTCAGTATGGGTATTCGATGCACACAAGACCTGATGATGGTGTCTTGCCGGTTCTTCGGATACCGCGTCAAGGTTTTATTCCAAACAAGACAGAGGGTTTGCAGATTTTTTTTTTCTTTTTTCTAAGCAATAATTATCCTCCTTGAAAGAAGTTTAACAAATTGGAATTAGATATGATCTATTCTCGTTTTAGCCACTTATTTCTCTTATATTTTTAGTTTTTATTGTGGAATATCGGTGCTCAAAAGCTGGTCAGTTTGAGGTAGCATTGTTTGTCGATATCGCATATCCGTCTAAAATCAACCGAACTAGTGTAGTTCTGAAACAGCAAAAACTTTGTGCTACTTACGACAAACCTGTATCTACAGGTAGTTTTTACTTGGAATATCAAAAAAATTTAGTTATAATTATTATTTGTCTTGACATGTTTCATAATAAGAATTTAAGAACTAGTGAAAAAATTGATGCAAAACAGCAATGAAAATACGAAATGTTGAACAGAAGATTATAATTTTGGGTCAGGGAATATTTTGCTGTGCGAATTATTCAACGTTTTGCTTTTTAGAAAATAGTTGAAAAAAATTTTTTTAATTACCTCTTAATGTTCTCATTAGTTCGTTTACTTCTTTCTTCTTTCCAACTCAAAATTGTTTTTGACACCCCACTAACTGCCTATTTTAAATGAGTTTTTCTTCCTTTCTTTGCATATCCTTTAATTCAGTCTATTGAAACTTTACTTCTTATGAATTTCCTCGGTTTTAAAACAACTGGTAAGCAGTTCTGTTACTTCTGATACACGATTTGTCTTTATCATTTTTGATTTTTATTTTTCGAACTGCTAATTTCGCAATCAGAAACTTTAGAACCGAAAATACTTATGAAGGAACAGTGCACTAAGGGTTGGTTGAATAAGAATGAAAAACTTTTTTTAAATACTTAGGACTTCATTATTCTCGATACCAGATAGAACCTGTATTTTTCTATCTTCTCAAACAAAAACAAACATTCAATTATTCTTATTATGAGCATAATCACTGATTTCAAATGTCAGACGAATCTATCAATTTTACCAGTCATCCGTCGCACGTATTCTGTGTATCGATTGTTGCTGAGAAAATAATCTATAAAAGTTTTAGTGTTGTCAGTGATCTATTATTAACGCATTGTCACATTCATTAAGAATTACTCTATTTGAAAATAAGCTTACAGATAATTAGTGACCTTTTTTTGACAAGAAAATTAATTTATAGGTGATATGAGCGATGAGCACCGATCAGATTTCGGGTTTCACGGCAACAATAGACGTATGAATTCCCAAACAATTTTCTGAAATCTTTTTTGTTCATTTTCTGCTTAAATTTTCCCTCAGCGGGTTTTTTGTCGACTTTAATCATTTGTTAGTTTGCAATATTTGTGTTAAATGCATAAATCTTTCTGAGTTTTCAGGTATCGCGCTAACAAGTGAAAATGTTTTTTATATGGTAATTGGCTGTATTCTGGTAGTGGTTTTTGTAATTGTTGTCATACTGATCTTCTATTTTCGCTCAACGCAAAACAATACTCCGAAATTTCGGCTTGAAAACGTCAGTCATAGTGAGACACTGTAAGTCGGAAATGAGGGAAATTGAAATACTTTTTTTTAATTTGTTGTTTTAATAGGTGATGAATGTTTATTAAGCTTTGCCTTTTACTTTTAAATGTCTTTTTATAACTCATCATTAATTTTTTTGTATCTGGAAGGTTAGTGAAAGGATGACTTTTGGTTATATCACGGTTATTGGAAGTAATGAGCGATTGAGAGACAATCGACAGCAGTGTATTGCTTAGTGCTTAAAAAAAAGGTTTAACAGTGAAGGATAGCGCTTGATGAACGAACTTGTTTGGTAGACACCGTTTTTTTTTTAGACAACAAAGAATGTCGAGAAACATGACGACTTCATGTGTACCTGCCGATTCAGATACCTTCAGTCTCTGTAAGCAGTGATAAATCAGTTGAATATAGGAAGACTTTTACAGCTTTTTTAAGGATGTAACTGCATTAATCGGTTTTTTTTTTAAACTGACAATAGTAATTTTGAGAAGTATATACCTGTTGGTGCTTTGACTGCTTAGTTTCAGTGAACGCTCATGAACAACGACGAGAACGTTACCTCAGTACCATCAATCGGTTAAGTGTCATGCCACAACTGATTTACGATAAACCGTATGTAATTGATGTTGGTTCAACACTGAACGAACTTCACGTTGACAAGAACTGCTTTGAGGTATTTACAAGCGACATCTTTGTACACTTTTCGTAGTCAAAATTTTAGTGGTTAAAAAGGCGATTGTGCTTAACTGCTGACGAACTATTAGACTTTTATTTAAAGATTCGTTTATTTAGGTATTACCAGTGCACGAGATAGAAGGGACTTTTGGTGAATTGAAGTGGGCAATATGGAGGAAACGATTTGGTGTCAAAAATAGTAATCTTTCAACAGACGAAGAAAATGACTTTATTGATGAAGTGCTTTTGGTTAAAGCACTGAAGGTCACGGCCGATGCTCGACAGTTAAATATATTTTTGGAACAGTCCTTGCGGTTTCATCATGTTCCGCGTTTCCGTCATCTTGCTCAGGTATTTTTCATCAGTATAAGGATTTTTTGAAGTGCTGGAAATCTTCACTGACTGTTGGATCAGGTTTTTAAATCATAACTAAGTTGGAAAAGTAAAAAAAGGTATTTTTTTAACAGGTGGAAGCTGCTGCATTTAATGGGTTGTATGATAGCAGGGAAAGAGTTGTGGATTTCCCACTAATTTGTTATAACCATCAAGGATACGGTAATTTGAAACGATTTTTGCAACGATGTCGTAGCGGTCTGGTTGAAGAGGTTCAAAAATCTACAGGTAACTGGCAATTACTGGTAAAAACTAATTTATTTTTATGCGTTAAACAACGTACCTGTTAAGCTTTTTTTCAAATTGTTTATTCTCTTGTAAATAATTTAGCAACAAATTTTGTCCAAACTTTACGTACACACGAGCTGGTGTCAATTGGAATCCAGATACTGAAAGCAGTTCTTCACCTACATAAGTACAGTATTATTCATAAGGATATTGCTGCCAGGTTAACAGTTTACACTTTTTGGTTGTTAGATTTTTTATTTTATGCTTGACAGGGCTATCAACTTTTTTAATAATTGCAAGACTTTGGCTTGTTAAAGGCAATAGGTTTTTTTTAAGAAACTGTTTGATATCTGAGATCAGTCAATCTCCTGAACGATTCTTTGTTCAACTTTGCGATTCTGCGCTAAGTAAAGATCTGTTTCCAAATGATTATCACTGCCTTGGTGATAACGAGAATCGACCTGTCAAATGGATGGCATATGAATCGTTGAGGAGTAATTTATATACCAGTGCAACAGATACGGTAAATAAAGTTCTGTCTGAAATATTAAACTAATCTGTTTTGCCACTGTTAAGCATGTCATGGTAACTGTATTAAGTTTAGTGGTCTTTTGGAGTGACACTTTGGGAACTACTTTCATGTGGTCAACAGCCTTATGTAGATGCTGATCCAGACGAAATGATTTTATTACTTCAACAGGGCCACCGGCTTTTGCAACCGTACAATTGTCCAGACGAGCTGTGAGTTTGAATTTCATACAAAGAAAATTTGGTTTTTAATTTTCAATTTTTTTTTAGTTTGTTATGCCTAAAATTAACTAACTTTGAAATCAGTGTGCTTAATGAAATAGTACGGTTATCTGAATCAGGGTTTTATTATCTGATGACAATTTATCTGGTAAATTTATTAATTGAAATAATTACAATTCTTTTTGAATTTGTGTATGTTGGTCTTCAAATAAGGTAAAAAATTTTTTTTCTAGGTATCATATGATGCTTTGTTGTTGGCAGTTGGATTATCGAGATCGACCGACCGGTGACCAACTTCTGAAGACTTTGCAGAACTTTATGATGCAATTGTGGCAGTTCATTTAGGCATTATCTTTCCCAAAAACAGTGCTACAGAGCTGGATTAAGAGGAAAGTCAGTTGCGTAATGTTTTTTTTGGCAGACTTTGGAAAGTCGTTGTCTGCAAAATGTTAAGTTTTCTGTAGGATTTTCTGTCCTATAAATTGGCTAGACTTTTTTATTTTGTTAGTATAGCTTTCTTTTTTCTTTTTAACTGTTAAGAATTTTGCCAGTTCAAATTAATTATACTTTTGGCGGCACCGTATTAGAGCAACTCAATTAGAAAAAAAAAATTAAGATGGAAAAAAAAGTTAAACTGTACATTACGATGATTGGATGGCCTTTTGAAAATTTTGCTCAATTTCACCTTCACTTTAATGTACCTTCAAAAACCACCCTTCAGTTTGCAATTCTTAGTATTTGAGGGTTTAAAGTATCAAATAGCGGTGTTGCGCGCAAATAATTGTATAGGAAAGGCAATAACTGTGCGTAGTTTTTGTTTAATTTTGTTTACTTGAATTACTTTATTTCATTTCTTTTTTTCGATATTATAAAACTTCTGATGTGAACATTGGTGAAGATGAGTTTACAATTTTGTTGATCGTTGAGTTCAATGACTGCTTAGGTCTTGATCCTGCGTCAGCGGTAGTAAGTTTTAAATCAGTATGAAACGGGGAGGGATATTATATTGGCAGGGGATGTTGTTGTTGTTGTTGTTAACAAATACACCTATTGTAAAATGCAGATGAGAAGAGTTAATATAGATAAGGGGATGAGAAGGTCCTTTTGTTGAATTGCTGTAGTAATTTGTATCATCGAAGTTATATAACCGCTTCTGTAAACCAGGATCAGTGGACTAAAGCAATTCTGGTGTATAGAACTGTTTGGTCAAGGAAGATTTGTGCTGATTTGCATGTTTCTGTTTGTTTGCGTGAGGATAATCCTGTGTACAAGATGATCTCTGGCATTTTTATGCTTATATGTCAACTTATATTTCTTAGGTTATATTTTTTTTTCTCAATTTTCCTTGTCTCTTATACATTACAAAAAAAAATAATTTTTTTTTTTTTTGGTTTATTAATACATCAGAAATATTTGGTTAATTATTTCACTGAAAGAGTTGAAAGAGATTTAAAATTTGGTTTAGTGATTATTCAGTGCACTACAGTATATTTATATTTTAGTGTGTACAACAGTTAACAAACTATAATTGTGGTTACTTGTCATTTGCTGCCAGAAAACTGTACTCATCTTGTTAAGTAATCGCCTTCTTAGTATGGGATGTTAAAGTGATCAGATGATGACGAATGGACAAAAATTGAACGATATTTTACTGTGGAACAAATTTTTAATGAATATTTGATCTGTTCGGAAGAGTTAATGGACAGTGATGAATCTGTTAAAGAAAGAATTATGAGAAAGCAGCAGAGAAAAAGAATCTGCTCTAAAATTTGATCAGCAAAAAGGATTAGATAAAGCCTAAAGAATTTCTTGCTAAATATATTAATTGGAATGATCTGTCATTTTTTTTTTCAAACATTATTGATGAATGGTCTTTAATATCCCAATTTCTTTTTTGTTTCTAAATCGATTAAGTTTGCTTGTTTTTTTGCTGACGGGTACATATGTATATATGTGTATAATGGATGTTTTGCTAAGTGCATCTGTTGTTGTAATAGTTTTTCTTTATTTTTAGTCTGGTTATTGTAAAACTAATAAATATGACGTGTTGTTAAAAGCTTTTTTCAAATGCGGGAAGTAGATTGCAAATGAAAATCTGCATCTCGCTCTTTTCACTTTGTTGACATTTGATTTTGTGGATGAGAGAAGAAAAATTTCTGAAGATATGAAGGTAGTCAAAAATGCGCTTGAGAAAGGCGTGAGTTATACTAATAATGGGTTTAGCATAAAGTTTAAGCTAACAAATAGTAATAGATACAAATTTGGTCGATTGTCTAAGCAGATTTAAAACGTTACAATAGCTTCTGTATAATTACTGCAAAATTGAAAACACTTGCTCAATTTCTCAAAAAACTGGTTGCAATGCAGTGTTGCTGAAGGAAAAAATCTGTTAAAATGGTGTCGTTGGAATTTAAATTTTAGAACTTGAGTTGTAATAGAAGTATAGGTGTTAAAAAAGTTTGATATAGTTTTCTGATTGAACAACAAACGGAAGAAGTGATACTTTACTGGTTTAATGATGGTTTTATTTCTAGTGTTCAAACCTTTACCTTAGGTTGTTCATACAGTATCAATTTTTAGTTTCACAGATGGTAATACACTGGAAAGCAGTTTTGGGAATATTTTTATGAAATTAGTGGCACTTATAAAGCGTTCATCTGATACTGCTGATGTTATCAAATCCTGCATATACACACGTCTACATTATTCAGATGTGTCGGATTCTCGGTAATTATGAGAGTGCCTATTGTGGTACAGAATACAGTCGAAGTCGGCAACTGTTATGCCAGTATTTTGCTATTATACCGAATGTCAGCAGATCATTAAAGGAAAAAAGTAATACAAATTGACCTTTACTCTTACTGAGAATGTACATTTTGTTGGTATACCGAAGATAAAAAAATAACGAGTTATATATTTAAAAGTTTCTTTTTTATCTGCACCACAGAAGTACCAATTAAAACATTTACTTTTTTTTTCGATTATCAGCATTCAAAAAAAAAAAATGGTAAAATTGATAAAAAAAAAGAATTTATTGTATTTTTTCTACAGACGGTAATTAAACAATGTATTTAAAACTAAAATAAGCTTGTTGGTAATACAAAAAGTCTGCAGTATTGATGTTTGTAAAAGACAGTATCAAATTTTTGAAAAAGACAATAAAATTGGCAAAAAAAAAAGATTAGTTTTAGAAAAATTTTTTTCTCATATACAATTAAAATTATTGATAAATTCCGCAAGCTTTTTTTTATTTTTTTTAGTTTAACATTGTAAAGAAAAGTGGGTTGGCTTGAACTTTTTTTTTTT